ACATAGCACTCCCTCGCTGTAATCTGGTCTCCTCTGACCTCCCCGACTCCATTCGTGGTTGGAAAGCGGAGGATGAGGTGATAGGTGGAGGGCACAGCTCTTAATGTGTTAAGAGCAGGTCGCCCCAATATGATATTATAGGCTGATGGGCAGTCTATAACCAAGAAATTGACCATAACTGTGGAACTCCGGGGCGATGCTCCGGCTGTGACAGGTAGGGTGATGGACCCTTGGGGATATACCTTTTCCCCTGAGAACCCAATTAGAGGTGATCTGATAGGCTGCAGTCTCTCTCTGCCCAGGTTGAGCTTGTCATATGTCTCTGCGAATAAGATATCTGCAGAGCTGCCACTATCCACCAGGATCCTACGCACCTGAAAATTGGTCATTGTCATGGTGAGCACCAAGGAGTCATCATAGGGGTGCTAGATTCCCTCTAGGTCCTTATCTGAGAAAGATATGACCTCGCTGTCACCCTGCTTTGGCACTTTGGATGGACGGATCTCGTCGAGGTGCCTTGTCTTTCTGGCGTGGGCCTTCATTGCAGAGAGTGATTCTCCACCTCTTGTTAGTCCTCCCGAGATGGTGTGGATCTCCCCCGCAGGCTGCTGGTCTTCGTGATTGTGAGATGGTGGTGCTTGTTCTCTGCCAGCAACATATTGACATAGGTGGCCACGGTGGATGAGTTCCTCAATTTGTCTTTTGAGGTCACAGCAATCGTCGGTGTCATGCCCATGGTCGCGGTGGAAACGGCTGTACTTGTTAGGATTTATGCGATTTGGAGGAGACTTCATCTTCCCTGGCCACTTTACAGCGGGGTCATCCTGGATCTGGAATAGGATGTGCCCGACAGCAGCGTTGAGGGGAGTGAAGGCTTGTCGGTCCCTTTGAGGAGTAGGACCTAGCCGGTCTTTGACAGGAACCTTCTCCGTTCTACCACGCTTGCTGCTAGTCTCCTTCTTGTCTTCTCTCTCCCTTTCTTTCCTCTTTTCCCCTGCTGCTCTGGAGGACTCACCTCGCCTGACCCTTGTGATGTCCTCAGCATTCATGTATTCCTGGGCCTTTGCTAACAGTTCTAGCATGCTCTTTGGTGGGCGTTTCATCACTAAGAAAAGGAAGCTTGACGAGCGGAGGCCTCCCAAGAAGGCAGTCATCGTCTCTTTGTCGTCGGGCTCATTAACTTGGAGTACCTTCTCGTTAAAACGAGTGAGGTAACTCTTCAGGCTCTCCTCCTTGTCCGGCTTTATGCTAAGCAAATGGGTGACAGGCTTCTGGTGGTGACGCCCCCCAATGAAATGTGACACGAATGACCTGCTCAGCTCTGCAAAGGAGGCGATGGAGGCTGGGGGAGCTTAGCAAACCATTGTCGTGCAGATCCCTTCAATGTGGTTGGGAAGGCCCTGCACATGATTTCGTCTGGGATGTTGTGCAGTTGCATCAAAGTCTTGTAGGTGTCGAGGTGGTCTAGCGAATCTTTTGTTCCGTCAAAGGTCTCCACATATAGCATTTTAAACTTTTGAGGGAGGGGGTAGTTCGCCACATCAAGTTTGAAAGGCGTGTCTATACGCCTTACCAGGTAGTCCACTGTCTCAGGTCCCTGTGCCTTCATGGCGTTGAAGACATCACCCAGTTGATTTTGTATTTTTTTGATTTTCTCGTCCCAATGATGTGGGACTCCCTTGGAATGATCATAGAAATGACTCCCATACTCCATGCTTTGGTTCTCACCCTAATCCTCCTAGAGATGAAGGTCCTCACCATGGGAAACAGGTGGAGGAGGAAGAAGTGGGATTCCCTCATGATGGGCTCCCCTGTGTGGGGCGCCCAAAGGGGCTCCAAGGGGGGCGCCCAGCCCTGCAAGGGCACCCGGGTATGGTGCAGCAGGGTATGGAGCCCCTTGATGCCCAGGACGTGGAGCTCCTTGGGGTCCTCTATGCTGTGCACTTCCAAGTTGCACTCCTCCTCGTCCAGCGAGCATGAGTTGTAGTATCTGCTGGTTTTGGGCCAGCAGCTGCTACATGGTCTCTAGCATTTGCTGTGGATTTGGAGCTAGAGCATTTGGGACAGGGTTGGTGGGAGGAGGAGCAACCTCCTCCTCTCGTGATGGATTGCCTTCATGTTGGTTCATGGATCTGATAGTGATCGTCATTGGGTCAGCAAATGGAATGTTTAGGAGCGAGAATTTTGTCGTTTCCCAGAGACAGCGCCAAACTGATGATGCGCAAAATGGTTTTGCACACCACCTGTCAAGTGTGAATAACAAATGCAAAAAAATTAATATCAGGAGATGGAGAGACACAGGCAATTTATAGTGGTTCGGTCAGCTCGACCTACGTCCACTCTTCAATGACTCTAGTTGTCAGGTATTTTATTAACTCAAGAGTATGGGGAGCAGATAGTACAAGTTTTGAGGGAGAGGAGAGAGTAGTGCTTAGGTGATGTGTGGTGCCCCCAAGTGCTGGTGGCGCGTGCAATTTATAGTAGTCCCCTTAACAGGTTGGGGCTACTTCTCAGCAATTAAACAACTATTTCGATGGAGCTCACGACTTCCTCTCAACGGGTGAGGTGGTTGAGGAGCTCCCCATGAGATGCGGTCAAAGATAAGGTGAGGGTGGACCGTTTCCTCTTGCGGTGCAGGTAAGGCAAGGGTGGACCGTTTCCTTCTGCAGTGCAAGTAAGGCCCTCACACTCTTCCTCTTGATGACGTAGCCGAACTGATGAGACTGGACTTGGACAGTATTGGGCTTAGTGGGTCTTTATAAGATTGGACTCTTCAATTGAGGTTTGGGTTTTCCAAATAAATTGGGCCATTTTGGGCTTGACCCATCAAGTACTATTAAGAGATATTATCTCACTTTTTCGAACTGGTGATTCTATCGGCTTCCGTTGAACATGACCAAACTATTTTAATCTATTTTCTCTTAAATTATCCTCAATTGGAGCTACTCTTACCATTTCTCTAATTCAGTCATTTTTTATTCTATCATTTCTAATTTTTTCACACATTCACCTTAGCATTCTCATTTTCGCTACACTTATTTTGTCACTATTGTTTCCTAGTTGCCCAACATTCTATCACATACAACATTGTTGTCCTTATAGTTGTTCGATAAAACTTACTTCAATTTTATTTGTATCCTCTTTATCACATAATATGTCAGAGACTTTTCTCCACTTAAGCCAACCGGCGTTGATTATATGAGTTACATCGTCTTCAATCTCTCCATTATTTAATCGATTCTAGATATCAAAATTGTTTACTCTTTGGTATTTCTTAATTTTCAATGTTAAATTTTTCACTATATCTACTTCTTTTATTACTAAAATTGCATTTGTATATATTCAGTCTTACTCCTATTTATTTTAAACTCTTTTGACTTAAGTGTTTTTCTCCAAATTTTTAACTTATTGTTCATCCCCTTTCGAATTGCATCTACTAATACAATATCATTTGCAAATAGCATACATTATAGGACATCATCTTACATGTGTCTAGTGCGTTCATCCATAATTAGGACGAATAGGTATGAACTTAGGGTCGATCCTTGGTATAATCCAACCGTGATAAGAAATTCTTTACTTTCTCCCACGGAAGACCTAATTGTAGTTATAGCCCCGTCATACATGTCCTTTATCACCTCAATATACCTATTCATCACTTCTTTTCTCTCAAGAACCCTCCATATTATATTTCTAGATACTTTATCATACACCTTTTCTAGATCTATAAATACCATATAAAAATTTTTCTTCCTCTCTATACTTTTCTATGAGTGTCCTCAATAAATATATAGCCTCCATAGTTGATCTACCCAGCATAAACTCAAACTGACTTTCCGACACTGTGTAGTCTCAACTCTTAGGCGACGTTCAATGACTCTTTCCCATAATTTCATTGTATGACTCATCAATTTTAACCATCTATAATTATTACAATTTTAAATATCTCTTTTATTTTTATACATAGGTACTAAAATACTCTTTCTCCATTCATCAGGCATTTTCCTAGTAACAATAATCAATAATTCTATTGAATAATTTCATTAACCACGACAACCCCTCATTTCATAAACACTTCCAAACCTCAATTGGAAGTACTTTTATGGAGTTAACCTTAGTTTTTGTAATTAGCCTCTTTTTTATTATTTTATTTGTATCCGCTATATTTATCGACATTTGACCATTTTTTATTTTATGAATCTTTAAATATCGAATACAATGCAATAAATTTAAATTAATTATTTTATTTTTATTGATTGGGAGAAAAAAAAATCTAAATAATGTATCCATCCTAGACAGAATTTCTGGCTCCACCCCTAGGTCCAAAGGCATTTCAGGTTTAAATGGTGATCACAGATATCCAAGGTAAATAATAGCCATCATAGTAAACACAATTTTCAGTTCCCAGGATTAAAAATGAAAAAGCATGTTGTCAAAATGGGTTTTGGGTCGCATTTCCAAGAACTAAATGAAAGGAGTGTTTACTAGAAAAAAATAGAATGCTGATTGCAGTTTCTTTGATCGTCTCCCAGTCAAATCATTAATCCAACCAAAACATCATGCTCCCAAAATTTAACAGTGCTTTCCTGAAGCAAGTAAAGGGAGTACTTAAGTCTGAAAATTGATAGCTCCCACAATTTGCAATTTATCTTCCCCATTATTTCTGGCATAATTTTGCTCAAGTAAGATCCCACATTTCAATATCCATGGGATACATGGTTCTCTTTTTGAATCTCTGCTCTTTCAAACTAAATATACGATCCACCATAAAAGGGAAGGATCATAATGATGCAGCCGTTCGAAAAATACTCAACAAAAAGGTATTAGCACCATTTTCCTTTGTTCTTTTTCTCCACATACCTTGACTGTGCAGATGAAGAACTGGCTTCCATTTGTATTTGGACCTGCATTTGCCATGCTAAGAACTCCAGGTCCAATATGGGACACTACATATATTCAACATTTTAAAAAATTCGTTTCAGCATACCCAAACCATACTATCAGAATGGAAGACACCCAAGATAACAACCATGGGTTCCAACATCTAGCAAATCTAAGTAGGGGGGGAGGACCAACTTACAATTGAAGTTCTCATCTTTAAATGTCCGGCCATATATGCTTTTACCACCAGTTCCCTGCCACAAAAAATAAGAAAATCAAGAATGCAGTATCACTGGACATTACTACCTGGCAACTCATAAACTTATGTCCCATGAAAAGAGAAAATGATCTTCGGAAGGTACAATATAACAATCAACATGCATGTCACAGTAGGAATATTCCCCACATGCCCAGACCCATATAAGATGAACCATATGTATATGATTAGCAGCAGGAAAATAATCAAAAAGTAAACGTGATGCCATGTCATAAAACAATGAGCATAATTGTGACACCATGAGATGATATTTGATATTTCAGGCCTTTTACTAGTCTTCCACTTGAACCATATCTTGCTTGTGGAATCTATCTTTGGTTTTTGCGTATACAAAGAACCATCCCAAATGCCTTACTTTCTACTCGCCACCTTCTGGTGCCACCAAATACTCTGTGATGAGAAACATAGTGGAAATCCATTTTTAAGTGAACAGATTCATTGATTGAATAACTACCCCTATTGAGGGCTCTATATCACATGTGCTAGACTAGGTAAACTAGATGACATGACCCTTTTAAAACAACTAACAAACCATACAAGCTAGCCCAAAAAAAAAAGGTCTGAAAAGGAACATTAAAATGGGGCACAAGAAGGAAAGCAAGTGACCCAAGCTGTACATCATGGAAAATAGAGAGACAGCACCCAAAGAAAGTGTGCCAAAGAAAGCTTAACTGATGTTATGTATTTTAAAAAGCTGTCCATCCAAACACGTAATGGACATCAGCTGGTTTTTAAATGGAGACAGAAACCACTACCTTGAGCAATAGGAGGCTACAAAAGGAAACTGGAAGTAAAATCAAAATTTTGGAATGTACCTAAATGAGAAGATCAATGCAACTAATAAATTTTTTGAACTTTATCATTTAATTTTTAGCCCAAAGCGCATCTACCAAATCTTATTAGCCTGATACTAGGAAGCATGGATACGGACACAGATGTCATATCCGATATGATACAAACACGAGAATATGACAAAGTTCAAAAATATAGAAACGGGTATGACAAGAATACGGCTATTAAAATAATATAATATATATTTTAAATAATAATAGAGTTGTAATATATTAAAAATAAAACATATATTACAATAATAATAATAATAAGACCTAGTAAATATTATTTTTTTTAATTAAAATTAAAATATATCAAAATAAATATCTATCATTTTCATTGAACATCATTACATCCATTGACATTCATAGTATATAAGTTACATAACAAAAATTATATTAAAAAAATAGAAATAACACCTCTTTTAATAATCAACAGTAGTTTTGGTTTTAAATTTCTCTCCGTATATTAGCGATGTCTTGACCATGTCCTAGAAGTATCCTAACCGTATTTTATCCATGTCCGAATGAGTTCACAATTCAAGACACTTCTACCCGTGTCGGACACGTGGCCGGCCGTGTCCTACACATGGTAGTGTTGGACGCCACAACACCCCTTCCGAAAGTATCTGTCCTAGGGTGATGCAATTGTAGACTTTGCTTAGGTAGTATTCCCTCCAATAATTTCTTGCCCATGATTTTAACAAACAAAAACATTTGTAATCTTGTAGACGCCAAATAGTATGAGATGCACCTCTATTTCATGTGCATCCACATATACGACTTTTTTTCACCTCCCCTCATGTGAGAGGGAGTTGGTAGTGAAAAAGTTTCTCCATAATATGTTATCACATCCTGTCATACAAAACAACACTCATACAAACTTCCAACTGGTGCAAGTTTCAGGAACCAACAACAACTAGAGATTGGCCAGCATTACAATTCTTCGTGGTTTTTCCTTGTTTTGGCCGGACAAGGAATGTTTTTTTCATCTAAGAGGAAAACTTAAGTATGAAAAAACAAAGACGGCGATATAAACAACAAATAATCTATACAGAATGTCATGAACAAGAAGCCGAAAAGTAAGAAAACCATTAGCCCACTACATTATTATAAGCAACTACTTGCTGTATCTACCATGTTTGCATCCAAATCACTTTTGCAAATCAAGACACTTTACCATCACAGAGAACAATCATCACATATGATTTTCATCCCTAGGAGATTGGAGTGGGTAAACTCATTTCTACGAAGTTTTAAAATGATACTTAGAATACATTAATATACAACACATGAAAGGGAGGAAACTAATGAAGGAAGTATTACACTCCAAAAAGGGTGCATGGACATAGGAGCTTCTCTGAGGAAAAATGAAAACCAAAAAAGTCCAGGAACGACCACTTGTTCATGTTTGAGCGTTGGTACAGTGAACAAAAAGGCAGGCATTCTATAAATTTCTGTAGGGGTTATAGAGAATTCAAGTTTAAACCATTGTACCAACACCACATAATGACCCCTAGTTATAGAGAAACAATATGCTTCCCTATAACGGACAATAAATAATAAAGGGAGAGCATTTAGATCAGAGTTCATACATTAATGTGAACCGGTGTGGGGCAGAAATTCAGTTAGGAATAAGTTTAACATATCACTTCCAGAGCTACAGATTGTCAAGCACAAAACAATCAGCCACTAATGAGATGATAAATGATTGAGCGTATGGAGCACCTACATTCCCTTTATCAAAGTCTCCTCCTTGAATCATGAAATCCTTGATGACACGATGGAATGTAGAACCATTGTAGCCGAAGCCCTTCTCTCCTGGCCAACAAGTAATCAAATCAAAATATATTCAAAAGCTCACTAAACCCGACACCAAGCAATATCAAAACGAAAAACTCTGAACCATTAATAAATTATCAGATCGGAGCATGCAACCTGTGCAGAGAGCACGGAAATTCTCTGCAGTTTGGGGCACATCATCACCAAACAATCCAATCACAATTCTGCCGGCAAGCTTTCCTACCGGATTCCCAATGCTTATATCAAAATACACTTTCTGGGTCACTTTGGATTGTAATGGTACTTCCTGGAATTCGCATGACCATTCATACGAAACACTATTCAGAACATAAGAATACACCCTCAAACTTAAATTCTTATACCACCAATTAAATTTCAAGTCACCAATTTTCCTCCAAGAAAACGCATAACATTAAGAACAACTAGCAAATCAAAACCCTTCACTCAACCAGTCATGGCATTGTAATTAAAGAAACAGTGACCTGAGCAGTGGCCCGAACCGAGCCCCAAAGTCCACGGTTTCTACTTGTTCCAAGCGAACCGTTGGTTGAAGACCTGCCGGACAACAAGCTCGACGACAACGGATGTGAAAGAAATGTAGATTTTGGAAGCTTAGCAGAGGTACACGGAGGGCAGAGAATTTTGTTCGGGGAGAGGTTTCGTGGGCCTGAAAACGATCCAACATTCGACTGCGAGACAAAAGATGTAATTTTTCATGAGAATCGGAGTGAGAAACAAAATGGAAGTGAACTTAGTTGTGATTTAAGGGGTTATTAGTTCGAAGTCACCACTCACCAGTGTTGTAAATGGAACCGCCATTGGACGTGGCTTTGCCTCACCTCACTTGCTCTCTGTGTGTATGTTTTGAAAGGAATTGAAGGATTTTTTATGGTCTGAAGAGGAGCAGTAGTTGAGAAACGAGGACGGCGAGTGACGGAGAAGACAAAGGGAATCCTAAGATGACTGTAGAGATATTCGCTTTCCCATACATAACAAATCTGTCCTTTCAAAAATATCCTCAAAAAATAAAAAGATTAATCGTATCAGTGATCTTCAAAATATGAAATTTATCTCATTTTAATTTTTAAATATTTTAATTATATTATTTTTATCCTTAAAATATTAAATATTTTTCTATACGGTCTCTTAAGCAAATAGTGTTTATTTTGATAATAATTTTTTATCATAAATTTGTCACTTAATACTTAAATATGGATAAAAAAATAATTTAAATAACTTTTGACCAAATTTTTACTCGAATTTTAATTAAATAGCTTTTTAAATTATATATTTTTATCATAAATTATCCAAATTTTAGTCAAAAACTACTTACATTACACATATTTTTGTCAAGAGCTACTCAAATTTTGTTTAAGAGTCATCAAAATTATTTTTTATTCATATTTAAGTATTACGTACGTGACAAATTTATGATAAAAAATTATTAGAAATTTAGATGTTGTCTGCTTGAAGAACTATATAAAAATATATTCAATACTTTATGGATCAAAATAATGTAATTGAAATATTATAGATTAAAATGATATAAAGTTCATACTTTAAGGACCTCCAATAGAATTAATTTAAAATGAAATAGATTAGAAAGTTAATATAATGAAGAAAACGTAAAATTACACTTAAGCCTCTTGTACTATGTTCTTTGTTTCATATTATCCATCCTTTTTTTTTATTTTTTCACATTATATGTTAAACTATTAATTTGAGCTGACCAGCCCAATTATTAACTTTTCTATCCTATTTTTCACACCAAAAAAAAAAAAATCAGGACAAAGATTAGATCTCATAATGTTAAGCTATGTAGTATTTTCCTCTTCAATTGTACAAAACTTATTTTTAACTTTACTTTTTATGAGAAATTTTGGGTTTAAAATGTGAAATAAGGGATATAGTTTGGGGTGTAAGTATAATTTAGGGTAAAAAAATAAACAAATCCACTGAACTAAATCTCAATCTCACTTCTCCCTCTATACTTTTACGGGTTGCACTTAACTCCTTGCAACTTGTCAACAAATTACAAATGTTAACAGGGTAACAGTTTATAAAAAAATTCTAAACTATGTCCTAATTGTAATCCATTCTTTGTGATGCCATCATCGTAGAACCTTTATCTTTAAAAATAAAACTTGCAACTAGCACACTTCTGCCACCATAGTTGCACCCCTATCACCACAAACCCACCTCCAACTCTGTTACTTTTATACTTTACAAATTTCTCTACAAGCTTTGGAGAAGGCTAGAGAGAGAAAGAGAGGAGAGTGACAAAAAGAATGAAGAAGAAAAAGAGAAAGAATTTTGGATTTTTAATTCAGAGACTTATAATACATAAACTCAACAAGGTCAAACTTATTTTTCCATGATGTCACACCCTATGCTAGAAGAGAGATAGAGTGTTGGTAATTCTATATTTGTTAAACATTAATCCACAATTTAACAGGAGTAGTTAACATGTGCAATAATTTTCCAGACATTATTTAAATATGAAAATATGACATTTACATATTACTGTATTACAACACAATTAGGACACCACACCCTTAACATGCTTAACAACCAACAAAAACTATGTACAATTATGCTACATGATATATTGTACATTCTGACATCCACCTCTCTATGTTAATTTAAACTGCCCAATGAACCACCTTCTATTGTTAATGTTTCTTAAACAAGAAAATGTGGAGGGTGAGCAAAAGCATACGTTCCGTGAGTATATTTAAAACATACATAAAGAAAACACTCAAGCACAACACAATAATAACACAATCCACATAATAGGATTTAACATCAATATTCAACCAACCAATAGTAATTTACGCTACCTGTTTTCAGCCAAGTGTCTCGACAATCACATTGCTACTATTTATGCTCAACAGTCTTACCAATTTTATCACTACTGTATATGCCTAACAGTCTCAGCTTTTACATTGCTACTGATTATACTCAATAGCCTCAGTAGTTATAATCATAGCAAACACAAAATCCATTAACCCAAAATTTAGCTATAATCACATAAATATAGCTAATAACATTCATAAACATTTCTAATGAATATGAATCAATACACTCACCTAGACTTCAATTCCAAACTCGAACTTAGTCCCTTTATGTAGTCTTAGGTGATTCTGATGCTGACGTCGTCGTCTCCGCACCTAACATACATCGCTACAAATCACATAAATATCATTCACAAGATATTATCCATAAGTGATAATCAAGCTTAACCTGATGCCCTCCCCAATATTCCCTTTCATTGTCTATAATGTATTCAACTATTAGGTTTAATGACGTGTTTGTAGGTAAATAAAGTCAAATAAAATTGATTCAAACTCATTAAAGTGTTTAAAGAAAGTTGAGGTTGAATAGACAATGAGTTACAAACGTTACGACAAAACGGTGAGAATTTCATGTTTCTACTAGTAGAAATCTTATCGGTAGAATTTTTTACAGAATATTGTGCTATCGGTAGGACACCACTTCCTACTGGTAGAACTTCTTACAGAATGTCATGCTACTAGTAGGATACCCTTTCCTACTGTTGAAGTCTGACATAATATCGTTCTACTAATAGAACACCATTCCTACCGGTAGAAATATGATGTAATCCTGTTTAGCCTTCTTTATTCCATCTTCTTCCTCAATTTTCCTCACTCAACCCTACAAATTCTAGATAAATACCATCAATTATAATCTCCAAACACATTATTTTTCATATCTATTATAAACCCAACATACAAATTTCACAAACCAAAACCAATATGTGGAACCCGCCAAAATAACGAGATCCAACAACGAAAAGAACCCAAGATCGTTTTACGATCAGATTTTACGGTAGACCTTGACCCGTTGTTTACGACAAACAAGAACCTTAGTATATAGACCTCAACCCGCTATTTGTGAAACAAGAACCTCAGTATAAGGGAAGACGCCACAAACGGTGTGGAAACCCGTTTGATAAGTCATTGGTAAACGCCACGGAGAATTCCGATAAGTTCGTTTAGTTCTTCAAAGAACCGAAGAGAAAACACTCTCAAAATTTACTGAATAATGATCTGAATTTTCATTGATTTGAATGCCTATTTATAGGCTGGTCATTACAAGGATTAGAAAACTTCCTAAAATAGCTATCCTATTTAAGAAATATCTCTTACTTGTGGGTAAAGAAATATCTCTTACTTTCCTAAGACTCTTGAAGAAAAAAAGAAAGACATTCAGCCCTTTAAATGGCTGATCACATGCCTAAATAGAAAAAGAAAAATACTTGGCATACAAGTCTTACAATTAGACCCTAAAAAGAGTGAATAGTACACGGTTACTGTAGCGTGAACAGTGTAGCGCTACAGTAACTACAAAAATCCTAGTTCATAAGAAATAAAACATGTGGGCTAAGCATCTTCAAGTCCATTTATTAATAATTCTAATCCTTTAGACAAATTGGAGGCCTTAACAACAAGAAGCCAAGTTAAGCTTAGCCTTAGCCCCTAGCTGGATTCTTCTAGAACTTGAATTATGTTGATGAATCTTTGTTACCCAAGTGGATCATGGTCAATGGGCTTCTATGAACTTGCTTGATTCCATGCCTCTTGAATTATTCCATTGAGTACCTCTTTAAACTTCCTTGCTCGTGCTCTCGTAACCAGCCCACTTGGAACTTAAACTAAATCCCTTGAATTTGTGTTATGATTTGCATC